CTAATTACTATTTTGTTTTGTGACAATCAGGTGCAGAACACAACACACGTACCATTTAGTGACTCCGAGAGCACACTATAGTTTTTTGCCACGTCATTTAGCCGGCGAATCTCCAGCTACTGGAGTGATAGCATTCGCCACATATATACCGAGAAGCGCAACGAGGGCGACGAGGAAGAGGAGGCGCACGTTGTTGATAATGTCAAGTCGTACCATAGCGAAAGAAACACCACAAGAAGAAGAAGGAAAAAAAAGAGATATCAACAACAAGAAACGTCTTCGATTTTTGCGTGTTTTGCAGTTAGTTCGTAAAAATGTACCCATTTTTTTCTCTTAACTTGCATGAGTGATGGTCTAGGTTCAACTAATGAGTGACGTTCTTTTTGTTGCCTTTTGCACCATTATTGCAACAATTGCTCGCTACTGCAAAAGTGGCCGAGCCTCATTACCAGCATGAGCCCGAGCGTCACGCCCCACGTGAAGACTGTCGAGACGGAGCTCGAAATGAAGATAAAGCAGTCCTCAGCAGCTTCTCCGCAGTTGACTGGGTGGGTGTACTGGCAGCGCGACCCTGCACGATCCCCGGACTGCTGGACGAAAGCGTTTGCAGTGTTGGATAACGCGTTTCTGTGGCTTTTCCAGCGAGAAGAGTCTGCACCTCAAAATTTGCTGGTGCAGCTGGCTGTCGCGGACGTTGATGATGCGGAAGGTGAACGCTTGCTGTGTGTGATCGACCCGAACGGAGAGGAGCTTCGTATTTGCTTGAGCGACAGCGCTACGTTCGAGACTTGGAGCGTGAGGTTAAAGGACGCGGCTTACCACACAGCAGCTTTCTTCCGAAGCAGCGGTCTGGACGTACGAGATCTCCCGCGATGGAGTAACTACAGAGGAACACTGGAGGACTACAATCGAGTTTCCAAGCGGACAAGATGTAAGGATGCTGTGGTACAAATGATGCGGCGTTGGAGGATCTATCAGTTACGAAAACACTAGGAAGCGCCCACCAAAAGTGCCATTAAGTAACTAGCAACTTGATGACTTCAAACCCGCTAGTCCAAAGGAGAAAGACTAGAAAGATAGACATCGATGCAGGCGTCGTAACACGAACAATTCGCGTCATAAAGCAAATGTAAATATAAAGTAGTTTTGTTTAGAAACACCGCTGTATGACACGCCGTCAACATTAGCGACTGTAACTGGTTGGCTGAGTGATCGACGGCCTTCACCATCGCAGCCGTCGAGGCTTGCGCGTTTCGATCCACG